TGGCTCTGGCAGCGATTTAAAGGGCCCGGGGCTGCTGCCCGAAGCCCAGGGCCCTTTTAAATTGCAGGCCTGGGGAAGCTGCCCCCTGCCGGTATGGTCGGCTGTGTACTGGCTCTTGCCGGTACGCCGTACCAGACCGTACCAGCTTACTTTCACCTCTGAGTTTCTATCTCCAGCTTGAAACCACTATACAATAGTTTCCTCAGGCAAGTCCTTAGTGTCTTGAGTTACATCCATGGCTCAAATCTTGCTATATGCAGCATGTGAGCACAGCAGAATTCCCCTATATGCTACATGTTGCAGGGTCAGAGCCATGGCCCTACAATTCCTATTCAGTTAGGTCTGGTGTCCATTAGAGACAAAATTTGGGAACATCTTTTCAAATTTTAAGGAAAAAAACAAAATAATACAGGATCTTAGACTCCCCCATAGAATTTATTCAAGGAAGAAGCTAAAGCAGAGGCTGAGGTTCTGCAGTTGGGGCATCTTACCTGAAGATCATAATGGGAGGGATGCAGTGAGTGAGTGCGGGGGACAGGAGGAGAACAGAAAACTGGAGTTAAAATGGGGAGTGAGTGAGAATGGAGAGAAGTATCAGGAGTTTGGAGAGACTGGAGAGAAGATAGACCTAGGGGTCTTTTGCAGAAGGCACTAAACAGTTAAAGATGGGCTCAGGTCCCCTTAAAGATTTTTTTTTCCTGACCTTGGATCAGATTTGATGTGGGGTAACTCTAGCCCTGGATAGCCACTTAGAAAACAAATATAAATTAACAAAGACATTCCTAACATTAGTCAACAAAGCTGCAGATGGGGGCCACTTTTAGTTACTTGCTAACTTCTATCCAGGAGAGAAAGCAAATGACTGGTGTAGAGCATCTGAGAAAAATAGAGATGTAGGAGACTTGAAAGTAAGATTGAATGTTGCCTACAATAGTATTTTTCACTGTCCTTGCTCTTTGCAGTGTTCTAATAGAAGTCTGCACCCATTTGGTTGTCCTTCTTATTGTGTAAGTAACACTGTTTCCCACCTGGACACATTTTTGCATAGTTAAGCACTAGGGAAATCAGACACGTTTCAGAAAGGTACATTACATTTCTTTGGGAGAGGAGCGAAGCACCAGGGGACGCCAGGAACTTCTGAACTGAAGCAGCATCCTGCATTCTCGCATTGCTCAGCAGTGATTCCTGGAGGCCCGCAGTTCGCTCTGGTTTTTGGATCCATCTTACATCGGCATGGAGCTGTTTAGAACAAAAATCAATGTTACCATATCTCTCTCTTTATCCTTATTAGTGTTTTTTTTTTGTTTTTTTTTTTTATCAATGGCACTTTCATTGGTTTCAAACAATCTTGCAAACATAAATTCTCCATGACCCACTGAAGCCAGAAATCATTTGGTCTACAGCTTTTCAATAGTATGAAGATACTGGCTCCATTGAGGTCAATGGCAAAGTTCCATTGACTTCAGTGGGGCCAGGGTTTCACCCATTAAGCATTACTGTCCTACTCCAAAGCCCATTCAGGTAATGGAATGAGGCCCATTGACTTCAGTAAGCTTTGGATCAGGCCCAGGAGTAAGAATGTGACATCATGTACTATTCCAGTTCCAGCAAATTTTGACACCTTTGCTGATCTCTTACAAAGAAAGAGAGAGAGAAGGGTTCAGTGCAAATTAGTATAGTTGTGAAGATGCAAAACCATGGTAGTCAGGTTATTGTAAAATAAGGGATCAGATGCAAATTGTAATAGCTGGAATTTTAACATTATAATCTTACAGTAGAGGCATCACTAATAGATTGGTTCAATAAAAACTGTCTAAATGCATCAAATCTAGTTAATTGCAGCCCCTTTCTTGGGTTGTCTAATTGAATTTCTTTGTCTGATTATGCAGTATTATATACAACTTTCTGCTTGTATTGGCACAACAGCGTGGTATAAGTTAAAATAAACAACAGTGTGCTTTTTGGAGAGACTTGGCTACAGTAGACCATCGTGAGGCAAGATCTTTCCGGTTTTCTAATGGGTAGTACCAGGTTCGATGTCTATTACTACTCCTTTTTGTAGATTGCTGCTTATTTTGCTAAGAATATGAGAGTTAATCTTGCTCCCAGTGAAGTCAGTGGGATTTTTGCTACTGAATTCAGTAGCAGCCGGATCAGGATCATGGAACAATACCTTGAGATGAAATGTTAATGTTTTATTGTACACAAATAGGAGATCTGCTCTTGCTGCCTTTGAAATCAGCAGGATCAGGCCCATGCAAGTACTTCTGAATGCAATAGCAAATAAATATACTTACCTGGGACTTCTGCTCCTTCAGTCAGTGCACTGAGCCCTAAAATGAGGATGACTGAGAGTAACTGGATCCCCTTCTGTTCCATTGCAGTTTGGAGTCCTCAAAAAGAAAAGAGAGAGAATTTGGATCTAGGATAAGTACCTCTCACATTCAGAAGGGTTCATTTTATATCCTCTTCTGTGTTTGTGCAGTAGGTTCAGATAACACTTTCCCAGACCATGCTCCACCTAGAGTATCTTTTTCTTTTGATTAGAAAATCTAACCAAATATAGATATCATTTGATATCCATTTGATAAAATGCAAACTTCTGTGATAAACTGCATTTATCATACACCTTTGACCACCTCACCTAAGCTCATTTCCTTGAGTACATTCCACACCTCTGAGCAGCTTCAAACTGTTGCTATATATTTCTAATAAAACAACTTGCCAGAGCAATATTTTCCCTCCAAATATATAATTTCTGCTTCAAGACTCCCACTGGGCCAAGGCCCAGACCAGGCGATATTCACTCCTGAACCAGTGAGAGGATAGCTCACCATCCATTTGGCCTGTAGAAAAGGAAACCACGTCACATTAGGAAGTAAAGAACTGTTGTGTTAAAATCAATGGAATATTAACCTGACCCTGTCACTGTACAACACCAAATAATCCAATATGGTTTGGGGTTATGATGAATAGAGAGACCTTGGCCATCTTAATCCCATGGTGCAAACACTAAAAAAAAAAAAAAAAAAAAAAAAAGGCCAAAGTTTGGAAATGTATTGATTAGGACACACAAGAGAAAAAGCATCTTGCAATAGAGTGGTTATGCAAAACAAACTTAATCCAAATTTATCAAAGTCCTCTTTAGAGCGAGGATATTGGTTAGAGTCTTGTATTTCGCCAAACAGTCCTTCTTAGTGGAGAAGAAAGGATTAGTTCTGTTGTATATTGAGTTGACCTCTGAGAATGGTGATTACTTTTTCTGCCTCTGGCAAAACAGAAAGAAAAAGAAAGGATAGTAAAAGTGGGAGAAATAAGGCTTTTGTTGACATTCTAACAATACAAAGGGGCTGGTCAGTCACAGGTGGATGCTTTGGGCTGTCAGGTTGGCCATGACAGCTATTGCTCTGGACTCTGACTCACTTCCCTGGTCTGGGATGTCATATGGCTGGTCTGGTCAGGTCCCTCTCCTTTATCCATCTCTCTCAGGCTGCACGGACTTATTCATAGATTCATAGATTCTAGGACTGGAAGGGACCTCGAGAGGTCATCAAGTCCAGTTCCCTGCCCTCATGGCAGGACCAAATACTGTCTAGACCATCCCTGATAGACATTTATCTAACCTACTCTTAAATATCTCCAGAGATGGAGATTCCACAACCTCCCTAGGCAATTTATTCCAGTGTTTAACCACCCTGACAGTTAGGAACTTTTTCCTAATGTCCAACCTAAACCTCCCTTGCTGCAGTTTAAGCCCATTGCTTCTTGTTCTATCCTTAGAGACTAAGGTGAACAAGTTTTCTCCCTCCTCCTTATGACACCCTTTTAGATAACTGAAAACTGCTATCATGTCCCCTCTCAGTCTTCTCTTTTTCAAACTAAACAAACCCAATTCTTTCAGCCTTCCTTCATAGGTCATGTTCTCAAGACCTTTAATCATTCTTGTTGCTCTTCTCTGGACCCTCTCCAATTTCTCCACATCTTTCTTGAAATGCGGTGCCCAGAACTGGACACAATACTCCAGTTGAGGCCTAACCAGCGCAGAATAGAGTGGAAGAATGACTTCTCGTGTCTTGCTCACAACACACCTGTTAATATACCCCAGAATCACGTTTGCTTTTTTTTGCAACAGCATCACACTGTTGACTCATATTTAGCTTGTGGTCCACTATAACCTCTAGATCCCTTTCTGCCGTACTCCTTCCTAGACAGTCTCTTCCCATTCTGTATTTGTTAAACTGATTGTTCCTTCCTAAGTGGAGCACTTTGCATTTGTCTTTATTAAACTTCATCCTGTTTACCTCAGACCATTTCTCCAATTTGTCCAGATCATTTTGAATTATGACCCTGCCCTCCAAAGCAGTTGCAATCCCTCCCAGTTTGGTATCAATGACTTCAATGAGCCATTTCATCTTGTTGTTCTGGTGCCATGTGGTGCGGTCGGTCTCTGGCTCAGGTGTAAAGCTACCAGGTAGAGCCCCAGAGGAAGGTAGTGGTGGACGCAAAGGAAAAGGAAGACAGGGTAGAATCTCACATATATCAGTCTGGGATTCTCACTGGTCCAGCAGTGATGGTTGGGCGTCCTCAATGGTGTGCTGGTCTAGACATACTGATGATCAAGGTTCACCAGCGAAAGACAGTCAGGGCCGGCTCCAGCATTTCTGCCGCCCCAAGAAAAAAAAAAAAAAAAAAAAAAAAC